TTTTTTTTTTTAACAAATATTACATCATTAAAGTGTGAATGTTTGCATGCTGCAAGCAGAGCAGTAAATAACGATACGTCAACTAAATAGGGTTAATAGTTTTTTCTTCAATAAAAATTGACATTTGCAGCATTAAAGAGAATGACAACATCATTTTTTTCAGAATGATGACGACACGTGACAAACTTACTGCTTCAGTTTGCCCATCTTTCAATTCGTGTTTCCAACAGTTGCCATGAAAAAAAATGCACTGTTCGTCCAAAGTAAATTGCTGACCTGGATGAATAGCGATACTTTTTGTATGTCGTATAGTACCGTCTAATAGACAGTTTGGCGGATTTCTTCCTGTTCCTAATCCCTGAAATTCTTGATGCTGTAACATAGATAACATTCTGTTTAAATTAGATTAGAAGATAGTAGCTAATAATTTCTTTTGATGACTGCAAATAGCACATCTAATCTTTGTCAATTTTTAATTTGTAAATAAGCGTTAAAAGAAGGCACATTTTTTGACAGGTTTAATCGTTTACCGAAACAAATAATTTCATTTCCTCAACGCTGCATGTAGACCATGCAGTTTTACCGCTACCAATTGATCGTGACATTACACAACAGTTTGGATCACAACTATTCTCACCATCGTGGCTCATTCCCAGGCTAAAATCTGCTTTAAACCAACTGTGACAGTTCACTGAATACCACATACTGCACATATTGAAAAGTAAGAATATTATGCTTTATTGTACTGTTAATCACAATTAACGCTTCAATTTGACTAAATTTAAATGTGCCATACGAAATAACAGTTGTATGTTAACCTGTGACCAATTTCATGCGCAATAACGAACACTGAACCAAAATCGAGGCCCTCATTTATGGTACAGCTTCGATCGTTGGAACACATTTTCTTCAGCGGTGCATATCCAGCAATTGCTTTCATTCCAGGTCGATAAAGATCGAATCTTAAAGTTGCGTATTTGTTGTTACTGATTAAAAATTTAAAAATCAAAATTTTAAGACAAAAAAAAAATCTATAAATTGCGTCTAAAAACTAAACAAAAAAAAAAAGTTAGAAGAGAATGAAGTGGATTGAACAGATAATTTATGGGAATTGGCATTATTTTTTTCCCGTGTTTATTTATATCGTTGCTAAAATTATTGTTAATAATTGAGAACAAAAACTGTAACGAGCTTTAAAGTTTTTTTTGTCAATTATTTTTCAAATAAATTAGTTTCTATTAAAATCGTAACATTGTCAGATGTTATTTGTTTGAGCTGCTTCTACTAAATATCTGAGAAAATCAACTACTTTTTTAGACGTTAACTTCGCTAACTGATTTTGTTGACGATTAAATTTGGTAAAAAAAATTTTAATATCATAAGTCCTTCTGAAAAGAAAAAATTTAATTC